TCAAACTGACGCATGGTCACTGTAAGAAACACAAGAGGGAGGAGTCAAACAATTCCCCAAAAAGAAACCTTTTTTAAAAACTGTTTAGAGGGTACTACGATTTGACTGCTATCAGGTCAGCATCTTACGTGCTTCTTGGAGAAATTTTTCCCTGACACTGTCTGATGTTGAGTTTTTGCATGTCTTCACTGCCACAGACAGAGCTGGGTTCTCCTGCAGGAAACACATCCAAAGAAGCAAAATCAGCATCATTTCAACACCAACACGCAGTATATTCACCGTCTGCTCCACAGAAGTCACAATCAAACTCTAAATAGTTTGCAGTTTTCAATAAAGGGCCTTTAAAATAAATAGTGTTACCTATTAAAATTTGTTCTACACGACCATCCCTTTATGGTTCTCTGGTTCAACTGCTTTGACTGTGCTGTGTGTCGTTACTGTGATATGACTGAATCAGTTTAGCCTCTCTTGAAAGTGAGTGTGCAGAGAGAGCGCGAGAGAGCAAAGACAACAAACGTACCGGGCTGATGTAAATTCCTTGGTGGACGTCTCCGAACTGACCCTCGCCTATGCAGCGTCCCAACTCGATACGATCCCGCTGAATCTCATAGTCCCGCGCTGGATGCACAAGATAAACACGAACACACACACACAGATGAAAATGAACAGAGTAAACCTTCAGATCAAAACATACACAGATTAATGTCCACACACTGGGCTTGCATTAACCAAGCTTGTCAGAGCACTTCATAGTATTTACGGCCTGTCTAAAAAATCTGTAGGTTAAACAGCTTAAATGTGCATGTTTGAGGTTAGTTTCAGACCGCACCACGGAAATAAATTGAATTCTGTCAGATGCAATATTTCAAAAATCTGACCTACTCTGACAAGCTTGAATTTCTAAACAAGCTCACCATCAACAGCATGCAACAAGAGCATCAGCAAACCACAGCCAGACATGCCATGTAACACAGACAAACAGGAGCCAATTACAACGAGCATGAATTTCTATGTTGACTCAAATGTAATATGGATAAAGTCAGGTGGTATATGGTGAAAACTCTCAAAAGGCTCACAGGCCAACAGAAAACCTGTTGCTTTAGCTCAGGACGCAGATCACTGGAACTGTAGCAGCTCAATATTCTTTGTGTTTTCTGTCCAACGTGGTTAGTAAAAATACATTTTTTTAATATTTTGTTTTAGGTTGGTCTGTGAGATGCAGGCTGTTGAAAGCTGACGTTTGCTCATGACACTGCTGACCTGACTTTGTCCATGTAATAAGCTTATGAATAAAGCACACGTGAAGCCATAAAGGTCACTTTACAGTATTCTCTGCACTTTTATGACAATCACTGCTGTTCAAGCACAT